GCAGTGTAATATCTGGAGAACTTCAATGTGAGGATAATAAGGAAATGCAGACTTTGTTGTGTCTTTATTATTTTGAGGTGGGTCAAAGTTAGGCCTAAACTGAATGTGTGTCAGTTGGGTCAGGTATTTTCTGAGAAGGGGAGTATAATTTGGGGTAGAGGGAAGGAGAGACTCAGGAAACCCTCTGTGCAGAGCCATTCCTGAAGACCCACTGTCCCAAAATGGCAAAGTCACTACAGAAAAGCTAAGCACAGGTCAAGGTGGATGAAAAATCACAAGCTTTGTGTGGCTACACCAGTTCCTCTGGAGGAAAACACTCAGACATTTTCACAAGCCTACCAAGACTCAGTTAAACACCACGTTGCCAAGCCCGGCCCTGGCTCAGCCTTGGACACTTACCCTCCAGCTGAATCTCTAACCCCAGTTTGGACACAGAAACTGCTTCTGCAAGCCATCTCCAAAGTGGTGTGGGTTTAACCTGTGAGGCAGAGTTAACTCTGGATGACACTCAGAGAGGCAAGGCTAGGGCAGCCCTAGCAGACTACTATAATTATGCCACTTAGGCTGACTGACTATTTTTTCATATGGCCACGTAACTAACGAAAGCAAAAGGGAGTTCGAGGCAATACCTTGCAGTGCTTAGGCTGAATATGAGAGAGGAGTGCTGTAGCCTTGGGACCCTGGTGTCCAGGAACATCTGAGATATATAAGAGGCAGTAGATTCAGGAACTACAAGACAGAGGAAGCAGAAATTTCTGCCCAGGTCCCTCACTGCAGGAACCTGTGCTCACACAGGTCTCAGGGTTGGCTAAGACTGCCTGGGAAATATCCATGGTGGGTTTTTAACAATGCCAGGACCCACTCTCCAAAATCCTGTCTTGCAGGAAGGCCTTGAAAGAAGGTCCACAGCAGGGATGGGGCAGAAGTGTTTGTTCCTGATCTGTCCCTCAGACTGCTCTCCAGCCAAGGGCAGCAAGATCAGTGCCTCTTGGGCAGGCTGAGGATGGGAACAGGCACCAGCTGCAGTAGTATCAGCCTCTGAGATGCCACCACTGGGACGGTCACATCTGTGTGAGCATGTCCCCAGGGGTCCAGCCAGAATCCCCGCTCCACTGCAGCGACGGGGAGCGTGCTAGGGCGCAGCCAGTGCCTGAGTTAAAGAGAGCCAGAAGGGAAGCAGGGACTCTCCGGGGGAGCTTTCTTACTCAGAAAAGGCATTTGTCAATACACAGGCCCAAACTCTTCACAACAGGTCACTAAAACGCTACAGCAAACAGCAGCTGATGGCCCCAGAATGAGTCTATTGCTGCTCAAACAGCCAGCAAGAGCGTGCTAGGGCGCAGCCAGTGCCTGAGTTAAAGAGAGCCAGAAGGGAAGCAGGGACTCTCCGGGGGAGCTTTCTTACTCAGAAAAGGCATTTGTCAATACACAGGCCCAAACTCTTCACAACAGGTCACTAAAACGCTACAGCAAACAGCAGCTGATGGCCCCAGAATGAGTCTATTGCTCCTCAAACAGCCAGCACAGCTAAGCAAACAGGCCGCCAGGGCAGGGGCTGTGTTTGCACTCGCTGTTTGCACTCCTCTACGCAGCTAATGGGATATTGCATTTATCCTAAGAAGGTTGCAAAAAAAAAAAAAAAGAGAAATGGCTTCCTGTTGATCTCTTTCCAACTTCTTTTCTCAGTTTCATGCATTGGCCAACCTGCCATTTTAGAAGACAGATTTACCCCTTATTAGGTAAATTGGTAACTGTTTGCTCTAGAATCATTTTTAATAGTCCCTTCTTAAATAATGCCCTCTAGCATCACACTAAATCCACCCTCGCTTTGGTTATCTCTAGGGTTTTTTCTTCTGTTAGGAGAATGGATATTTTATTGACATGTAAAAGGGTTACAAGGCAGGAGGAAATGAATTATACAAAATTTAAAAGCAGAAAGCTAATAAAATGGTGGACTTGATAGATAAGGCAGGAAAATAAATCTAATTTTACCGTAACTCGAGTGCTTCCTGTTTATGAAGTAATAATCGTACACTGGACTAAACTAGCGTTAACCCAGGACACGGCTGGTTGTTTTTTTAGATAAGGCAGGAAAATAAATCTAATTTTACCGTAACTCGAGTGCTTCCTGTTTATGAAGTAATAATCGTACACTGGACTAAACTAGCGTTAACCCAGGACACGGCTGTTATTTTGTCAAATTTGGCTGGCTCTAACGATTAACAACTGGTGGCTCAGATTTCAGCTTTGGTGTGGTGATTATTTTGATGCCTGGTGGGAAATAAGGCCGTGATCTCCTAAAAGGGGACCTCTGTGAGATGCTTTCTCTGAAAAGTCCGTGGGAAGGGCTCTGGCACGGGCCAGGGAAGATGGCAGAGCTGTTTCCTGAGGACTGTGCAGTGGTGTGGCACTGTGGGAGTCATCTTTGGTTTTCATTTCTTACTTTGTGTCCTCGTTGAGTCCCCCCCTCTTTAACTATTTACCCAGCCAAAAATCCTCAGGCCCATTGGAGAAAACATCTTCAAGTGCTTTCCCTCTCTCCCCATAAGGAGGGGGTGATGGAGAGGAGGAAGAAATGGACCCTTCCTTTCCATAGCATGCTGTATTTTTGAGGAAGAACCCCATTTAACAAGACAAGCATACAGCTCCTTTCTAGCAATAACAATATGGTCTAATTCCAAACTGGAGAGGGAAGCAGCATCCCTTCCTCTGCCTCTGGGACAAATGTTCCTGAGCTGGGAATGCAAATGTTTCAGCCAGGGCCCAAAGACATCTGTTGCACAAGTGCAGCACTTTGTTTCAGATCCCACAAATGTCCTTGTTCCAAGTAGGTCATTATATAATGGCTTTTGCCTTTTCCCATTGCCAAAAGGGTCCGGGAGAATATATCGTAACACCATGTGTCACCTGCCCATGCAGTCCCTCCTGCAATCATCTTATCTGGGTGGGACTCTCTCGCTTGATGTCATTCAGCCCAGTGCTGCTCTTATCAGTGCAACAAAAATACCTGACCCTGACACAGCAAAAACCCCCCCGGGATTTTGCAAGCCGTGCCCAGGCTGGGGGCTTTCCCCGTGCGTGGTGCTCCCCTCTCCTGCTCCCCCCACTGCCTCCAGGGCTTTCCTACTGCATCACCCTGGCCTGCTGCGCCAGGAGCAGCCGGCACCGCACGCAACCCTGCTCAGACATAGAGGGGAACAACACAGCCCAGAGCAAGGCTGCTCCTCCTGGACGACGTGCAATGGTTGTCTTTGTATTTCCCCTTTGTGTTTGTTATTTCCTTTTTTTTTCCTACTCTCCCACCCCACAAACAACTGTTGTCTTCCTCTGCTTCTTTTCTCAGCAGTCCCTGAATAGCGAGAGCACAACCTTCACCATAGCAAAAGGGAGGAGGCCTAGGGGTATTTGGCGTTCGGCAAAAGGAGAAGCAAAGACCAGGCCTTTTTTCTTCTTATTCAGGCATCTAGAAATGGTCATGGGTCAAACTAGTTGCACTTTTCACCTTCCCCACAACCTGTCCAGCTCTCAAGAGCTTTTCTGCACCAGGATGTGGCTGTATCTTTGGATTTTGTTACAGCTGGCGCTTATAGAAAACCATCTAAACAGAATAAAATAGGTTAGAAACAAGCTTGTCCTCTGTTCTCTAGTGAAGATGGCTCCTGCCCTCTCATGGTTGAAGGCAGATATGTAAAGCCACTTGTTTGTTCTTTGCGAAGAAACACTAAATACCATCACACACATTTCCTTCAGCTGGCTCCACATAGTCTGGCATCACCCTCCTTTAACACACACACTGACACAACTGGGAAACTTCTGGGGCAGAGACCGGCCGGTTGTCACAAGCAAGTACACACTTAGCAAAGTGGGGTTGCAATCCCCAACTGTGGTGTCGAAGTGTTACCAAAGTACAAAGTGTAGGTAGTATGTAAAGAAAGTCACTCACTTGCTCACCCTTTTCACACAATGTTGGTCTTTTTTCCACTAATTAACCCACCCTTCCTGCATCCATCCAGCTCTAAGGAACAAGAATTGCATGGGTTTCTCTGATGCACCAAGCAGGTTTTTGCCAATAGACTAAAGGCCGGGGTTTGTAGTATGAATGAGGTGAAGTTGTCCATTATGTTCTTGCTACCTGCTTGTTCAGTTTTCCTCTCCCAAACCACTTACCTTTTGCAGAGATTTGATTGTATCATTAGAGCTTCCACTGTTTTGGTCCTTCTTTCTTCCTTTTTTTTTTTTTAATAAGATACAGAACATTTCTCATAACCGAATACAAATCTGTGAAAAGCCAGCTTTTCAGAAAATCTCCAGCTCATAGGCCACTGCCCTCTCATTTCCAAGTGCGACTCAAGTCTAACACCCAACCAGCTGTCCCACACATGTGCCCATGGCATCACACTCACACAAATCTCCACGAGAATCACAGGCTCCCCCAGAGACATCCTTTTCCTTCAGAGCTTGCTTCCAGCCAGGAGACCTGCACTGCTCCTCAAAGAAAGTCTGGAGGGGGGGTAATGTGAAATGCCAGGGAACTGAAGCCTAGAGGTGGCAGACAACCAGCTCTCTTGTTGATTTCCTGGCATTGGTTTCTATTTCCTGACCACCCAAAATACTCTGTTTTCATCCATCCCAACATGGGAAATAGCAGTTCCAATGTTTGAATGCAGTAATGCCCCTTAAGAGATCAAATATTTTTCTGAAGCATCATGAAAGCAAAGAGCATTAGCAATAGCCATCTGGGCAAAGGTCTAGCTGTCTCCTTGGTGCCAGGTTTACCAGGGCTTGTGCATGAGGAAGGAGAAAGGGGTCAATTTGCTCTGAGCTGGGTTGGCCTGGGGAACTTCCCTCTTTAAATCACACAATCCCTGCTCTGTCCCCAGCTCCGTCTGTGTGGTTTTTAACTGACATTGTGCTATTGAGGCACAGAGATGACTTTTACTCACAAAGTATTCCTGTTCTTTTTGCTCTTGTCACTTTTTCACTGGATTTTGGCAATCAAGGTCAAAGTTGAGAACCAGCACGACTTCCGGGACATGGCCAGCATAGTAGCCATGGCAAAAACCTACGCCACCACCGAGCCATTCATTGACTCCAAGTACGACATCCGAATCCAGAAAATCGGCAGTAACTACAAGGCTTACATGTGAGTGCGTGGCTGTGCTGGAGTGAGACGGGGGGGAGACAGTGCTGTGGATGTGATTCAGTCGGTGTCTGCTCTGGGCAGGAGTAGGAAGCTGACTTAATTTCCTTGAAGAATACCCCTGCTGTTCTCCTCCCACCTCTGAACCCAGATCCCTCATCCACCGACCATCTTCTCCATTACTCACCACCAGCTCATTGTTTCTGGAAAGTAAATCTCTCTCTACCTGTTTCTGAGATTCAGTTAGTTCCCACTAAAACAACTGTGCTCTGCCATCACCTATCACCTCTGCCTCCTATTGTCAAAGGGCTCATCTTTCCCAGCAAAATCCTCCAGCTCCCAGTACCCTCTAATGAGAACTGAACCCACTCCCTTCCCACCTGGGGGAAACAATAAAAAAGACTGAGCCAGCTGCAACTCATGGAGTCCTAGAGTGTCCAACCCATAGCAACACCCTGTCCTCTCCCCAGCTGGAGATCACGACACCACACACAAGGGCATGAGGAGCACATGGCACCGGTTATGAATGGCCTTAGCCTGGCCAGCATGCAGGGTTCCCATGGTCATTTTGCATGTGTGCTCCTTGAAGTGTACAAAGGAGGGAAAGGAGAAGGAGAGACATTTCTGTGGGTGCCCCAAAGCTCCTCCCTGCCCCGTGGGGTAGTGAGGGAGGTGGCATGAAGGCAACCCTCAACACTGGTATGTTTAAAAATATTAAAAAGCATTCAGCCAAACTTCAGTAGTTGTCAAGCTCAATTAAAGATGTAACCACATGAGTCAGTAAGACACCTGTTTCTTCTTACTGCAAACGAGTAGATGAGAAAAGCCAAATAGCACAGCTTCTCCAGAAGCTCCTTATCCAGCCACAAAATTCTGGACAAGTAGACAGCTGCAGCAGTACGTTCTTCAGGTCACCAGAAAAAATTCATATGTTACCTAACACCCACAACACGGTGAGTTTTGGGTCCATGTTTACAAACCCTGAGGCCATAGTTCTAGTGAAACATAGTTAAATAAGATAATCAAATGTACACAATCACATATTTTTCAGCTATAGCTGCCTAAAGTTCCCAGTTGGATTCCTAGCACAGAAGTATTTAAGTAAACTAGGTAATGACTGAGTCACATTCTTCATGGGAAGGACTTGTGGGACACTCGGCTACTTCAATGAGAGAAAATTTGTTTTAAATCTGATCAGGTCAACAATTGCACTTGTTGCCTAATATTACATTAACATCTCAGGGAGTCTGGCTCAAATTGGCCAAAGGAAGGAAGGTTTAAAATATCAATTAAAATTCCCTATTCCTGCCAAGCTACCCAGCCCTGGCTCCAGAGCCTGCTCCCCAGCCTGCCTCTAAGTGAAACAAAGGCCTAGTTAGCCTGACCATATCCTCTCCCCGTTTATTATTCACACTCACCACGCACTCATCCAGACAGGGATCAGAAATAATACCAGATGATTGAGGAAAGAAAGCAGTCACACTAAGAGCTAATCCCACTTGGGAATATAGCTGCGCAAACAATTGTTTGCTAAATGAAAAATGTTTTCACATGAAAACAGCCATGGACGGGAAACACCTTAATGAGAAATGAAGTTTATTAGCAAAGAAAGCAAGCAGCAAAATTCACTCAGCAACTTGCTAACCCAGAAGGTTGATTTATATTGAGAGCACCATTTATGGAAGTGAGCTTGGGAAAGCACTATAGTCAGTCCCATTGGGGGCTGTTCCTCCTGTCCCAGCATCAGGCAGAATAGAAGGTTACTTCTATGGTATAAATAAGTCCCTAGTATGTCCAAGGACAGAGGGAAAAGCACCCAAAACATCAGAGCTCTCACTGGTGTCTCAAATAGAAGACTCAAAATCATTAGTCATGCTAGCAAATCTTAAGGCAGTTACAGCATCTGCAGTAGCATCATACTAAGTGAATTACTTTGATCTGTGAGCCATGGAATCTACCCAGTATTTTTACACCTTCACCCACACATATAGACTTTAAAGGCCCCCTTCTTTGTGAGAAAAGGCTGTGTACCAAAATTCTCCAGAATATGTTTACTTTGTACCAAGCATCTGCCAGAGGGAGGATGCTGCAGGGTGACTCATGCGTTCCTCCCCACCCCAGATGTTCAATGCACTTCCTTCCAGCCCGTGACCCAAGGCTTGAGTTCAGTTTCCCATTGACTTCAGTGCAGTGTCTCCACATTTACACTACTAACACCTACTTAGTCCATGCCTTGGGCTAGTCTCAAAACAGCAGATAAGCAGCATGTGATACATGCCTAAAATTCCACCAAATGTATTTGACTGTCATTGTAATACTGGTGAAGAGAAAACACAAATAATGCTCATGGGGCAGTGTAAATCGGGGCAGAAATTATACTTCCACCCTCGCCCCAATTGGGGGCAAACAGAGGGATCATTTCCAGTTAAGACTCATGAAATGTTCACTTTGCATTAAGCCAGCAGCTGCTGACTTTCAGGGGTGGGATATTCCTTGCCATCAGCTCTTAGTAAGAGGGTAATATCCTTTCCTTTCTAGTTTCATGAGTGTGACTTCTGATTTTGTCACCTCAAATGCTGTTCAATATGCTCTGCAGGGGCTACAACTTCAACTGTGTGTAAACTACAGCTACTTTTAGACTGAAATGGCCCAGCTGGGAGATGGTGAGTATAGGATTGCCAACAGCCCATGATCTGCTAGTCTATCCACTTATCCTAAGCAATGCTGAAGGTGTCTTGGTCACAAATCTGCCTGATCTACTGATCTCTAAAACCTTGGGATCCTTTCCTTTAAGATGCTGACTGTACACTGATGCAGCCCCCTGACGTTTAGGATGGTTCGAAGCACTTTGACTTTGAGTCCCTGAGAGAAATGGGGTTTGAGGCAGGGCATCCTTAGGGAAAGATCTTTGTTTTCAGTCGTCTTTTCCAACTCAGGTTGAACACAGAAAGGGAAAGAAAAAAAAAGAAGAAGAATTTGGTGGCACACTTCACACCTGAACTGCTCAGACATGCTTGGAAAAGAGTGATCTTGACAGAGGCTGTGGTGTAGGAATTTGGTGACTGGTCCGGAGGGCTTCAAATGAAGCTTTTCTGTTTAAAAACAGGAAAGTTCCCTAGCAGAAAAGTTAGGGGTACAGCTGAGAGAAATATTTTTCATCTTATGCCCAATATTGGCTGGAGATGGGTAGGTATAAACAAGTCAAACCAATCAGCCCAATGGCCGGAGCAGAGTTCTCATTTTTGGAGCTTTCCCACATCATATTTTCTTGCAAAACTGTATAGCTGTGGTTTGGTTTTCTTAGGCACAATACAGCTGCTTACATTTGGTATGCCAGGTACATTTTCTAAACACTGATATCCAATCATCTTGCCATTAATCAGACTCCGGGAGTTCTCATCAGTACTAATGGGATTTTGGATGCCATCTGCCACTGCAGGGCAATTTTCTGAACCTAAATGTTAATAAAGAATGGTTCTTCCCACTGCAGAACTGAAAAACATAATCCTAAGAATCCCATGCCGAAAGAAAAAGAGAGGCTGAGGGTTGAACACTGACCTTACAGGCCATCAAAGGGCTCATAACAATCAAAGCTTGAGGAGGAATCCATACCTTTGCTTAGAAAACATGGCAGGAAGATGGACGTCGGCTGAAGGGAACAAAGGACAAGAGTCAACTATATGTAAACACAGTTATTCAACACAGTAATCATGTTCCTTTGGCCCCCTTCCTACTCCTTTAAGTATGGGCTACAAAGACCATTTAAATTTCACAGCAACTATACATAACCACTTTAGAAGAGAAATGGTAAAAGGACACCAGGCTGTCCCTCAGCAGAGTGAAGGGGAACCTTAGGTAGTCAACTATAATGATCCAGGTTTACAGTAGGACATCAGTATTACCACTGCTCCACATAGTTTTGCAAGTTCAGAGTCTCTTTTCCACACCATGTTGAAAAAGTGAGAGAACTGGCATGGATGGTTCCTCCAGCCTCATGTTGAAGTGCTGTATCACACCTCATACTCCCCTCCTGAATCTCTACCTAAATATCCTCCAACGTGGAGATGCTCCCTGGATGTATCCTGTCAGCTTGTTGACTTGTCCTAGCTTGTACGCTATGCCAGGGTTATCTGCGCAATGTTGTCACAGCAGGCTGTCCAAGGTCTGCCCTGTGCCTTGACCTTAGGTCAAGAAAAGGAAATTTTTTCACCCCTTGATGGATGATGATGAAACCCAGGATTTGCTAGCAACAGTACCTTTTCTGGAAATTAACCATCAGTTGCAGCTAACGAGACTCCAACCATTTTGCAATTATAAATTCTCCAAGTCCAGACACAGTGAGCCACAGACAGGTCGATGAAAAGTCAGTGAAAAGACGGTATAATCATATTTTCTATGACACCAGTACAATTGAAGTCAAAGTTAGGGAGACCCACAATCTCATAGCTGACATTTGTGAAGCTGCTCAGGCAGATGTTTACCGGGAGAGTTGCTCTTCCATGGATGGAGGATGCAGAACACAAGGATGATTATCCCAGAGAACTTCTTCAGATATTTCAGCTCTCCTGGGACTTATATATAAAGAAAGAAAGTACTCACAGAGTTTGATGTGTGCTCAAGATTCCTTGGAGGTTTCCCTGTCTAACTCCTCATTCAGTCTTTCATGAGTCTGAACAACATATCCGGTATGAGTGTTGTTGAGGCAGGATTTGGAAAGGTTTCTGTGAGGAAGAACCTCACCTCATCCTCTCCTGTACAATCACGGAGACAAGAATGAGGACTACAGTATGAGGGAGGATGGGGCAGGAGTGTATTTTCATGTTCAGGTTATGGTTTTGGTTTGTTTTCCTAGGAGGACGTCCATCTCTGGAAACTGGAAGGCAAACACAGGTTCCGCGATGCTAGAACAGATTGCAATGACAGAGAGGTAAGGAAGAGGGTTGCAAGACAGTATTAGCTGTTCTTGGGTTAGAAGGGAGGAATTGTATTTCAGACTTCAGTTAATTGAGAGAACTGGTAAGTGAGGTCTCCCGGGAGGCTGGATAAAGAAGTTTAAAAGACCGAGTGTTTCCTTAAAAAAATACTAAGGGCACAAAGGCAAACTGTCCTATTTTGGAGAACAGACTGGAAGTACAGCTAGAGACCAACATTGCTAAATCATTAGATCTTTAGTGAATGTAGCCACAGGAAACGAGACCGGCATACTAAGGTCAAGCACACGAGCACAAACATGTAGGGATAAAATCAGAAAGGTCACAGCACAAAACAAGAAGTAACAAGAAGTTATTCTAAGTACATTACTAATGAGAGGCAGACACAGAAAAGTGTTTTTCTTCTGCTCAACAGAGGGAAAAAATCTATCAGCTGAAGTGTTGAAAGTGCTTTTTTGCATTAGTCTCCCAAAAGTGGATAGTGTTTTAGCTAAGGTCTTCTCACTGCTGAACAGAGCAGAAGGAATTGCCTCATGCATCTTACAGACTAAAATTTGCAGATGGTACTTCCATATATTGAAATCACTGTGATACTTGCTAATATTGCCGCTGCATGACATTGTTGACTCATGGTAACTTATGCTTAGCTGTAACTCCCAAACCCTATTCTGCAGAACTGCTGTCAAGTCACTTGTTCTCCATCCTATTTCTTTAAGTAGATTATTCATAGATTTATAGAATCCATAGATTATGTGTAGGCACTCATCCCTAGTGAATCTAAGATTTTTTCAGATTATACCTCCAATTTGTCAGGATCATGTTTAATTCTGACTTTGTCCAGGTTTGGGCACCACATTTGAAGAAAGATAGCAATGATCTGGAGAGCGCCCAAAGGACAATGAAGGGAATGCTCAGAGGAGAAAACATAATCAGCCTATGAGAAAGGAACACAACAATTGCTTATGTAGTTTTCTTCCTTTTTCAGTTAGCAGACCACTGATATTTTTCCAGTAGAGGTGTAGACTCATGCATAATGAATCTATGCCTGCAGTGCAGAGGTTCACTTTCCTTCATTAGCTGTCACAGAGCTGGTAGAAGTTGTCCGCAAGCTGAACACCATTTCATCCTGAAGATGAAAAAACTTAAAGGGCAAAAGCTCTTCAAATATGTAAAAGGCTGCTAATAGGGCATTACTCACTCTATATTACTAGTACAATACTGTAAGAAATAATGGGCTTAAATTATAGCAGAAAAGGTTCATTTGAACATTTCTTATACTTCCTAACAGTAAGGATAGCATAGCACAGAAATGGATTGCCTGGAGGAGATGGGGAATCTCTGTCCTCTTTCAGACCAGATTACAGAAATGTCTCCTTTTTGGGGTACCAGAGTTGTGCAGGTGATCATCTAAGGTCCCTTCTGCACCTTTAATTCTGTGAAACAGGGAAACCAAGCCAAGCTCCAAATCAGATGCTGAAGGTGACTCTGTAAGACCCTAATAGGACTGTGGGAACTGGACATTATTATGCATCCTGGTTGTTTATAACACAGCTGAAGCTAGAGACACAAAGGGTAGACATTCCCTTATTGCAGTGTTGTAGGACTAAAACCCAGATTCCTGCCAGCCTGCCCTGCTGCATTTTGAAGGGTCATTTTATAGATGTAGACCACAATTCACCACTCTAGCGTTATCCAGCCACAAATGCAACAAATCCCGTAGAAATCTGTGGGTCATCAGTGCATGCAACAAAGCAGGAGTGTAGTAGGATGAGTAAGAGCAACCTGAAGTACCTACTGTACTGAACTGTAGCCCAAAGGATCCACATGTTCAGACAATACTAGGCAAAATGGCAGTAAATCCTCTGCAAATGCTACCCCTGATGCGTATGCATAAATACGCTTTTCTGTCCCATAGCACTGCTATTCCACCTCAGCAGCCCTGCCGCCTCCCAGTGCTCACCTAGGGCCAGCAACATCGAAGACATGTATCTTTCGGGGTCTCTGGCAGGGGCAACAATTCCCTGAGCCTGGCTGCTGAACCCAGACACCTAGAGACGTCCGTCAGGAAGAGAGGTGGTTCCCATGATGGTGCCCCTGGGTGTGGGGCCACAGCAGTGCAGGAGGGGGGCTGGCAGTGCCTCCTGCCTGGCTCATGGGGTCCATAGTTCTCCTCCTCCTTATGCTACTGACTCCTCCTCAGGTGCTCTCTTCCTCAGGGGGGCTGGGGTGAACGTGCTTGGTCTCCTCATTAGGGATAAGAGAGCACTGGTAGTCATATAAGCCATACTCTTGCTTCTTCCTGCAGACGTTGTGTTCGCACAAGTTGATCATTATATTGTCAAGCTATGGGGACTCTGGCTGGCTTCAAGGACATAAACTTGTCCTTTGGCCAGAACAGCTCTTTTCCCAGTCCCTGTAGGGTCTGCAAAATGTCAGTGTTTTCATGAGACTGTGGCCTTCCCTCCCCTCCCCGCATCTTGTCATAGTCCTGCTTACAGATCTGCTGTTCTGAGATTATTATTTTTATTGAAATGGTCGTGACTGCGGCACAGCTGCACAGGAAATAAAACCAGGCCGCCTCATTCCCTCCTCATTTCCACAGCAGGGGGATGCAGTCCCCCCATAACATGCCTCTTGTCATTCTCTCTCCTCCTCTGACACCAGGATAGCTAAGAGGGCACCCGCCAGGCCTGGCCCCTGTTCATACCAGTTCATGTTCCCGTTCTGGGATGGCTAGAGAAAAGGGATACAGCCTGTAGCTCTCCCTCTGACAAAGCAGTGCCTGGTCTGTGTGATGGGACTGCCTGGCTAGGAGCAACACCCAGGGGATAGAAGGGAGGCAGGAGACTGTAAAAGGATGAAATTGAAAGAGTAAATTGTAAAAAGCAGGAGCCGCTGGGTTACAGATCAGGGAGGGGATGGCTACTCCCTGCTAAATTCTGCACTCACTTTCCGATCCTATTCCAGCCCCAACGTGCAGGACATCTTATCAGGAAAAAGCTGCCTGCATAATGGAGGGCTTTCAGGCAAAGCCAATACAAATGCCAAGGGACCAACACTACTGGGAGATTAAATGAGCTAAATATTTATAGCTTGGCTAAATGACAACCAACTGGAGATCTGATATAAATACCAAGGAGGGAAAGAAACATTTTAAGGTGGCTTTGAGGGCAGGATTGAAACAATCTGAAATGAAGGGAAACTTTAGGCAAGATTTTTTTTTTTGCTCCATCTCCTGAGCAAGAGAGGGAGGCAATGACCCAGCAAAGCATATGAAGTATGCCTTGTGATAAAAAGGGCTCCAGAATTGATTTGTGCTCCTATGGGCAGCAGGATGGGTGGCTGTATTTCGTGGACTCCGATGACAGCTAATCCTAGACCATGCCTCTGTGGTTTCTGCAGGTACAGACTCTGGGCAGACGCCTGCGCGGAAATGTTTGGAGGTCTTGACATCTGCGCTGTCAAAGCTGTCCACAGCAAAGATGGAAAAGACTATATCATTGAGGTGAGAGCATGGGGAACCTGAATGCAAGTCTCCTTTGGGAAGTATATCTGCAAGCACGCTCCCTCGGAGTTCACGTGCACCAATGTGCTCGCTTACCCCTGTGTGCATGGTCCAGCAGTCACTGCTCCTTGGTGCCCACCTGTTTCTTCCAAGCTGTGGCCCACTGATATGCAAGAAACTGATTTAGAGTCCCAGCTAAACTGGCAGATATGCAGCAAGGTGTCAGGGTTGAAGTGCCTTCATTTCTCAGTGTGGACTATGAAAGGAAACGGAGAGCCACACACCGCTTGGCCACCTCAGCTTTCCAGCTGATAAATCCCCACAGTGAAGAACCTTACTGGCATGGGACAGATGTGAAGCTGCCTTCTTATTGAGCACACAACAGCCTGCAAGAGTTGCTGGCAGCATCCAAAGCTTGGTGTGTCTCAGTGCACCAATGCCCCAGTACCATCCTTCCTAGGCTAAGCACTTGCAAAGCCAGGGTATCTCTCATAGCTGGTAGTAGGGATCAACAGCGTCATGAATAGACATGCCCATATTCAGCCCAACCTGAATTCAGGTGCCAGATGATGCTAGCATATTAGTCATGTTAATATCCTCCCATTACCCACACAGAGGTCCAGCAGGTGATTCAGTCCATTAAAAATCTCAGTTTCTCTCTGAAAGAACCTGTCTTTCTCCAATCACTTTAAAGGGAACCTCAGTAACAAAAATCCTAGCTGCATCTAATTTAAAAGAGTAAAATAAATGGTGAGAGTGTAGCAAAAAGGCCCATAAGTAGCAGGAACAATTTAATTAAAAAAATAGGTATATTTTCTAAAACCTTTTGCCCGGACAGCATTCACTACAATAACAGACCAGCAAGACAAAGCACCACAGAGTTACTATGGGCAGTGTGGACTACAAGCTTTTGTGTTCAGAGCTGGACAGACTGTGGCTCTGTGAGCTGAAGTTCAACATGCTCCTGGCCAGGCCAGGAGGCAGACGTGGGAGTGGGGTAGATAGCACACTCAGGTCATCCTAACAGGGCAGAGAAGGAAAAGCTGGCCAGAAAATCAAAGTGGAAACTTAAGAGACGCTCTGGGGGAGAGAAAATCTGGCAAGTAAGCAAGTGCCTCTGTCACTATGTGACTCAAGGAGGCACAGCATCTGACCTGCTGTAAACTCCACGAACACAGGCCAGCCAAGGAAGATGAGCAGAGCCAGCCTATGGCTTCATGCAGGGGTGCTGACACACTGGAAAGCTATGTGTGGGAGAGCAGTCCCACCCGCTGAGGGTTGGGATGTTGATGAGAACCACATGAGCCCTCCAGCGACTGCGCATTCCTGCATTATGTATCTGCTCTCCGGGGAGCAGTGACCTGTCAAAGGCCATGTGATATAAGCACGCTGCCAGCATGAAACGCTGGCGAGCCTCCGTCTTTCCTGAAGTGATGGGACCACGGCTGATGGGTCTGCTCCTGTATGCAGTTCATCAGCACCTAGAGAAGCATCCCCCAGAGCAGACTGTCTCCCTGCCACGCACTTTTATACCTCTATGCACATGTAGCTGAGAAAGGAAGGGCAAAAAAGCAGTCTTGCTAGGGACGACTGTAAGGACATTTGGACTGTGTCCATACATGGTCAGACGTGAGATGTGGATTTCATATCCCTGCATCTATTCTTGCGTATAAGCCGACGTACATGCACACATGGCTAATTCTGTGCTTAAGGATTAGATGCTTCTGTCTGGGTATACCTCTGGGTTTTCACATCTGCCCCTGTGTGTGACTGACTGGATGAAAAGCACATCCATATGCTAACAGCTTGCACACAGAGAGAGAAATGCACACTAATACTCCTCTCTGAGATCAAGGTAAAAAGCAATGGATCTAGTATGATACAAATCAGAAGAAACACATCAGCTTCAGATGGATCATGCTGAATTATCCCAGTGGAGAATCTGATTGAACAGGCCTGATGTACCAACAACTAGCAGGCATTCAGATGCCAGGCTGATGGACATTGTCGGGAAAGGAGTAGAGCAGTGCAATACAAAGAGCAGAACAAAGCCAAACAGGCACCTTTTCTACTTTATGCAGATCTGAGGGAGATGCTGACAAGTAATTAATTGCCTCCAGCCTACTTCCTGGGGTACTTTTCTTGGTCTGAAACTGATCCTTTATTTTGTTTTTTTCTTTTGATAGTGGGAGAAAAAAGTTATTTGACAGTGCGACAGTTGTATTTTTCTTGGTGAGAAGGAACAGTGTGCTGTGACATTTTACAAGAAAGCACGCCTAAATGGGCTGAACAAATAAGGAATTTGCACAATGCAATTGCAGGCAGTAATTAATTTTCACAGTGCAAAGCAGTTCTCTAGGAAAGATTCGCAGAGGTAGTGATGGGCAGTTCTATGAACCGAGATTTATCACAGGGGTTTGTTGCAAACAGAATCAGATTAAGACAGATGAGTTATCAGGACAGCACAAGAGTAATCTTGCACCCATGGTATTTGCTGTTACTTGAACTTCACCTTCTTTTCTTTTCCCATGGCGAACAGCAGAATCTAGTATGTTTCTGCCCTTCAAAGCACTAGCACACTTAAGCACCATTTTCATGGCTCATATTGAAAACTTTGAAGAAATCAGTAGATTTCTTCAAAGTTTCATTTTATTAAAACAGCCGTGAATTTAACGGGAAATGTTGGTACTTCTTTTTCTCTGCTATAAAGAACTTTGTCACTCTAAGGGGGTATTCAACATGAATAGTCAGCACTTGATCAGAAGGTCAGAACCTCAAAATAGTGCAAGTTGGGTACCACTGTTAGCAGCCAGACTCTCAAAAGCGCTCAGCAGCGTGTATGGTTTAATAAACCCCCCCTCCCTTTTTTTGGTAATCTAACCCTTTTCCACATCTCTGCTATGCTGACAAATATGGAGCGAGTGGAAGGCAAGTAAAATGATCCATGGGATTTATTCTTCCTCCTGGACCAGCTAAGCCCTACCTGCCATACAGCTAAGCTGTGTTACTAGACATGCTCCTTGCTGCCCTGCAAGAAGCCCTGCCCATCCCTTCAGCACTGCCGTATCGTTTCTTTTGATATGTCTAATCATCTGTTTCCTTCCTTCCTTCCTTCCTTCCATAAAAATCACCTAACACCCCACTCTTGCACATCAGAGCATGGAATAACAAGTCCAGCCTTCAGGCCTCAGTGTCAGATAGACGCAGGGGGAGGAACGAGATGGGGTTTTCCTGAGTCTCTTCTCTGCCCGGCCGCTTTCTGCTCCCCACGCCCCCCCCCCCGTACACCTTATCAGGCAACAGCAGCTGCATCAGGAGCAGCCACTGACCTTGGGCAGCTACAAAGGCCGGGTCCATATGTGCCGATGTCTTCTTGTCTTGCCCAGCTGTTCTCTGATCTCCCCAGGAAAAGATGAGTGCAGCCTGTCTGTGATTCACATATTCCTTCCAGCCGTTTGATTTATTTCAGCATTAGCATTCGTATCTGCCCAGTTCCAGAGCAATTCCCGTTTCCCGGAGGACAGACAAGGTGACATCTCATGCTCCTTTTCAGTTCTGTGGCAACCAGCTGTGTTGTTTTGCCCACAGAAATCACTGTCATTTTCAAAGGCCTTCCCTTATGCTTGTGATTGTTCATTCCCGTATTTGCAGTCTCCCACAGCTCATGTTCCCCTGCCAAACACTACACAGCAGGACAGCAGACACCCTCATCCCTGGTGCACCTTCACTGGTTCAGGTGGGACCTGCTCCAGGGTTCATTCCCCCTGGTGCCTTTGTTTTATAAAACAGTATCTTCCCCTTCCTCTCCAGCCACTGCTGCCACAGAAATAGTGAAAAGGAGTTCTTAAGATGGGGAAATGAGGGCTTTGGGGTGTTTTGACCAGAGCTGTATCCCAGTTACTCACAGGGAGTCGGGAGCTAGGCTTCACTGGCCAGGCTGTTCGCAGAGTAATGGCATCATCTAGTGGTCAGACAGGTCCCTCGCACGGTGCATTGCAGGGAGCTGGGACCTCTTTTGTCACGCATGAATTGGAATTGCCAAATGAAATGGGAATGCTTTTAAGGTGGGAGTGAAGGGGAGGGAAACCTGCGCAGGAACCTGCTGGAGGGCCCCTAGGAGCCCCTGGGTAGTGAGACACAGATGGGAACTGGCCGTCCCCTGACACTGCTAGGAAACATCTCCTTTCCCCACCTCATTTTTTAACAGAGAAACAGCAAAGTGGGCAGTGGAATGAAAAGCCACTTTGTGTATTTAGCTGAGCACCGCCATCTAATTTTCCAACCTCCTCCTTTCGCCCCCCGGGTCAAGTAGGCCATGGATATAAACACCAACTCATTTTTCATGAGAAGCCCAGTTAAAACTTCCTAGACAGCTTCTCTAATGTTCATATGAGACACCTATAGAAATGAATCCAAATTAATAGTTCTTCTACAAGAAAAGACTAGAATACAAACTTGGTGAACTCACCTCACTGATTTCCCCTACTTTAAAGCTAAAAAAAAAGAGGTGCAAAACTTTCCATTTCACTCCAAGAGTGGGCTCTTGCAGCCTTGCCAGGGTGGAGTGCACGTCTGATTGTTATCCGAGCATGAGTCAGTGCCTTTCTTGAGCAATGCAACCTTTCACTCTGCATTTCCAGGGTTTTTAATGTTTGGTTTAAAAATAAAAGCAAAATAAAATAAACTCTTCCAACCCTGATATTTTGGTACAATTGTATTTATTCCAGCTGAATCATAACTTCATCATAGTGAGGTTCTTCCTGTGGGATTTAGCTAATGTTTGCAAAGCACTTGATTTATGATGAACTGTTGAACATGATGTTTACGGCTGCTATACAGCTAAGGGTCTGCTGTGCTTTCATTATTATTGTTGTTGTCAGACCATTTCTTACCTCAAAGACCCTTTGACAGTTCTCCTTCCCCCATCCCCACGGTCTTGCTTCCCAGCTTTCCCCAGCACAGTTGTAGTACTTGCTTGGGAAGCAGTCATATCACAACAGTATCAAGAAGACAAGCAGAGAATAAGTTTGCTTTCCTGCATTGGGTGCTGTTGTTTTGGTGACATTCTATTCATTACACATCTGTGGTGTTTATTTCTCTTCTCAGGGTGCAGTGCTTTGCGTTGATTAATCCCAAATGTTTCCTGGTTTCCTCCAGCCCCTGTTGCTCTCATCTCCTCAGGCTTCGGTACATGTTGTTTCCCTTTTCCTGTGGCCCTTTCTGCTGCAATGTCACCCCCAAATGCTGTGAGACAATGCCAGAGAGACCTCATCCATCAGAGGCATCTCCTCAGGACATGTGAAGAAGAAAGTTTGTGTTTAGTTGATTTAGAAAGCCTCCAGCCACCAGAAGGTTTGGCTTGGCTTCCAAGTTGTGAAGGGAAGGAAGATGGGGAGTGGGGGGAAGTACATGCCATTTCCAAAAAAAACTAAGTGAAGTCCCACACCTAGGAAAGTCAAGCATGGTTCAGCATGGAGGGGAGTGGTGACTAGAGATGTTGGCAAGGATGTGGAGACACAAAGCAGGTTAGTGTGAGAGGTGAGTTGAAACAGGCATCTGCCACCAGGAAACCTCCTTACTAACTTGTTTTCCTTCCTGCGACAGGTGATGGACAGCTCGATGCCCCTGATTGGGGAGCATGTGGAAGAGGACAGACAGCTGATAGCCGATCTGGTTGTTTCCAAAATGACTCAGCTTGTCATCACTGCTGGATCTACACCATCACCACTGAGGCCTTGGGTATGAGCAAATAGAGACCTTATGGCCAAGTTGTTTTCCTGAATTTTTTTTTTCTCTCTCTCCTCCCTGTGGGTGTCAGGCAGTCAGACATCTCAGAGAGTTGAACAGTCTCATACGGGAGTGTATTGGATAGATTGCCTCCTGCTCTTCCAAAGAAGTCTCTCATAGACTCTTTGCAGTAGGTGTCCCTAAGAAACACCTCTCTCTCCCTTCCTCTCCTTCCATATAACTGTGGCATCACACCAGTAGTGTGGTTCATGCATCTAGACATTCTGGCTTGCTCAATTCATATTGAAGACAGCCATTTTTGGAGGTGCTTGTAATGCCTGACTTCATCTCTGTCTAACACCATCCCTCAGGACAGGTTTCATTCCAGTTTTTGCATCCCTGATGAAAATCTGTGCTTCCCAGAACGGGAAGTGGGAATCTCCACCAAGAGTTGTTCCATTCCTTGCTGCAGCCTTTCTTCTTTCGAGATGCCCTTCACCTGCTTTATCAGGAGGAGACTTGACTAATGCTGAATTCATATAAGAACCTGTCATTTTTGCACTTAAACTGACCCCTTAGTGCTTCTCATGTACATCCATTTTGAGTATCAAATGCATCTAATCTTAGTGCCACATTTCCCAGTGGCAGTTCCGTATAAATGAAACACACCGGAACATAATCTGTGTCTCCAGGTATACGTGCTACACCTCTTTCAATATCTAGCAGGGAGCCAAGCACAAAGGTTTGAGGACAACAAATCTGTACAAAAGAAAGGACAGGAGAGTAAACAGGCTGAGGGATAATACTGACTGCAATGCACTGGAACAGTTTCCATTTCCACTTGAGACAAAAAATGGGAGAAAGGACTTTATGGCTCTCTGCCTTTGTCACATGACAGCCCACTCCTGCTAAACCAGGTCCCCAGCATGAAGGGTATTCAGGGTAACTCCAAACCAAGTTTCAGCTAGAGTGAGGGGACAAACATTTAATAGACACTAAAAATGCTTTGAGACAGGGAAAGCGATACAGAAGGGATAGGATTTACTCTGGCCAAAGTGAAATCAACAACTGCCATCTGAAATAACCAAGATATAGAGTGTATAAACTAAGAGCAAAGGGGAAGCCAACAGAAACTGAGAACACGGACAGATGCATCTGTTGTCTATGTAATATACTGGTACAGAATTGGATTGGATTACAACAGACCTAAAATAGGGCCAAAATAAGAACAAAATAAATTGTCTTGGAGTGATAGGGTGTCAAATAGAAGAGTTAAATAAGAAAAGAGTCTTCATCAAGAATACAACCTACAAATATCTGAATACAAAATCAAGAAAATTAAAACCGCAAACATGTTACCTAGAGTGTTTTGCTATAAAGATCTTGGTACAACAAACATTGCAGAAACCACACAAGCTGTAGTTACCGACATAATGCTGTAACACCTAGTTACAAATGTGCAGAGATAAGTAATTACATGTGAGGCTGGTGAGATGCAGAACTAGAGCTACAGGAGAAGGCTTCACAGAACAAAGAAAAATAACAATTCTGAATAGAAGGACAGCAGTACTGAATACATAGAAATATGAATCCTTGGATGTCCTATGGGTATGCATAGAACTTCTATACATACTATTGGAGCTGTCTATACTAGTCTCTGGATCAAGAAAAACTGAGAAATTATGAAACCGAGTGCACAGCATTGACAGAGGTGGAAGAAGCAACAAGTCATAATAATGTAAGACTACAGCTATCAAGAAGCAAGTCAAATAGCACAGTGGGACAGCAATTCAGAGGGAGTTCCCCATCTCTGTAGATGTCTGCTTCCTGGAACTGCAAAATCCAAGTGCAATAGGAAAAAACACCTTGGCCTAGCCTTAAGAAACACCCCGGTACAAATCCAGAAAGTGGACATATACTATTAGGTTTGATGTCCAAGGGACAGATGTGATATCAAAAAGTAACGGTATGACACAAACAGTTAGAAAAGATTATTTTAATAAAATGATAAAATTAATCAACTCCCTAGCATTAAAAGTAAAAGCTGTATGGACATTATATGAGAGACCATTGTTTTCCAGAATGCATATATACATTTCTGATCTGGTCCTGAACCAGGAATGCAAGAAATAAACTTCTAGAGTTAAGTGATAAAGTGATAGAGGACATTCAAGACATATAGAAAAAAAAATCTTCCAAATTTGGAAATCTGACATTTAAGAAGACCTTTATGCACCACCATGCAAGTAATAAAAGGAAACGTAAAAAGGACAGAAATTTATTTTGAAGAACAGAATGAGGGAAGAATGAAACAAATTCTCTGAGTTCATAAAAAGATGGAACCCTACCAAACAATTGGTGGGCTCTGTGGATCATCCAAAGTTAAGGGAGAAAAGGAAGACAACAGGGACAGTGTTGTGACTCTAGTACATTTAATTGGTGAAAGTGGATGGATCCCTACCAAACAATTGGTGGGCTCTGTGGATCATCCAAAGTTAAGGGAGAAAAGGAAGACAACAGGGACAGTGTTGTGACTCTAGTACATTTAATTGGTGAAAGTGGGGAACTTTTTAAACTAGATATAGTTTTTCCTGATAAGAAAGACAGGAGTGAGAGCAAAAACAGTGACTAAATCAGTGATGACTGATATTTTAAAAAATTATTAAGCCCCCAGACCCAGGTGGCTACATCCAATGAACTGAATTTAGGAAGCGACTAAGCTGCCAAGAAAAAATGTGCAATTTCATTAGAAACAGTTTTCGCTCCAGAGGATTAGTGTACAACGAATACAAAATTATGTGTTTAAAAAGTTGTAAGAGTCATAGACCTTACGAATTATCTCAGACAATGATTTAAAGAATAATACAGAAGACTAATAAACCAACACAACCATGGCTTAAGATAATCTACCACATTTTTTTTGCAAAGAAAAATGTCCCATTAATTTCCTTTTGATTCTTTTCCCATCATTTCTTTGAGAATTCTTTCATAAAGTGGTAGATAACAGGCAATCAGTCAAAATAATGTAGCCAGACTGTCAAAAAGCCTTAGGCAAGGTAACAGACAAGTACTATTAAAGAAAGCAATCAGGGAGGGGCTAAAAGGCAAAGTTTCATTGTGGAGCAGAAGCTGACCTCAGATAAAGACATAGATATGAGAGATTTTAATTCTTGCGAACAGTTAGCAGAGGGGATACGTAAAGAATGCTAGGCTTGGTCATGTTGATAATTGGGTTAGCTGAGCCCAGGACAGGATAAGATGTTAATGACAACCTTTTTTTCATGGCTACAACATGAAACCTGGTTTCATGGTTACAGCTGCGGTTCTCTCCTCACCTCTCTACCCCACCTCCATCCCTTCTTGTCACTGTTTCCCTTCCAAAGGTAGAAGATCTTAGGCTGGCCCTCACCCTTTCATCTCTGAGCCTCAAAATCCTGTTCTGCCTTCATCTCTTGGGTTGTCTGTAGGCAAAGGCCGTAGAGGTGAATATGAGATCTGATTCCCTTTCTTCGGCTGGTCTAATCAGGATGTCTCACAGCATTAGGACAGTAGATTTCCACCAACACCAAGGGAAGGTTTAGTGTCCCAACCTATGTAGGACTAGAAGCCATGAATGGAAAATTCCCAGGTTTTCCTCCCCGTCCACTTGGCAAGTCCCAGAAAAACAGCGTAAAAGATGGGCTGGCAACATCATCACATTTCTGTTAGTCAGTTGAAACTCATTTCAATGCTTCCAACTATGAAACATTTCTTCCCATTTCCAGAATCACTTAGCTCATTCTCCTGACCTTCCAGGGGTCTCGAAGACCCTTTTATCAGTGTGTTCTCCATGTAAATAATCCAGCACGTACCAGCCTATCTGTCTCCAGCTTCCCCTGCTTTCATAAACAATTTTGTGCAATAGGCTTACTCAGACTTTTGTTAACCTTGGACCAGCCCTTTGTGCAACAGTTCTGTGTTGCTTAATAAGTTTATTAAAATATCTGTCCAAAAGAGTAAACAGTGAGAGAGAAGAAAGTGCAGATGGCACCAACTTATTTGCATTAGTCAGGACCAGGGATGGCAGTGAAGAACATCTGACAGAGCTATGTATGTTAAGTCACCACAACAGCAAATGAAACGCCGTACGGAAGACTGAAAGGTAGGCTAAGCTGGGGGTAGAGAGAGGGAGAACATAAACAATCTGTAGACCTTGCAAGTGGCACTAGCCATGCCCCTTGAGAAAGACATTGTCGCATACAGGCTAATGAAAACCATCGCTCAGCCTATGGTTGTGTTGACAAGGGAGAAGCAGGAAATTAGGATGCAGGAGAAATGAGCTGGTGATGTATACAGAAAACTCAGATACTGCTGCATCTGGAATAATGTAAGCAGACCTGCCTCTGGCATCTGCAGAAGAAATCACAAAGCTGGGAAAGAGAAGTGGGTGATGAAAACAATTATGGGCCTGGAAACATTCCCATGGAGGGACAAAAGGGATTCACTTTCTTGGCTTTAGAAAGGAGGTGGCTGAAAGAGAGGGCAGTAAAGGTTTGCAAAATAATGAATGGCCTAGCAAGAGCAGGTTGTGAGAACTATTCTCAAAACTCGGAACAAAGCAATGGAGTTAAGAAATGGGAAAAGCAGTGAGGCTGAGAGCTGAGCAAGACTCAAAAGGTCTGGGTGTAAATACCAAAACAAAATATCTGGAACTGTTGCAAAGATTTTGTGGAGCAGACAGTAAGCTTCATGTTTCAGGGTTTAAGCTGGCCCTTGCTTATTAGCAATCAAGAGAAGACCCCTTAGGGTAAAGAAATGATTACTCCATAGATGTTTCCATGGTTCATCCCTCCTTCCTTTGGAACATCTGGTGCTGGCAACTGTCGAAAATGGGAGATGGGACTAAGAGACCCCCTCGGGCCTGATACGTTTGGCAATTCCTGATTGCCTAAAAAATATTCTAAATTGTAACTTCATTGTTATTCCCTGTGAGCAAACAACTTCTGTGCTCTTTATTACTAAGCTCTCCATTTTAGTCCCATGAGATTTTACCAGCCAGATGCTCTGTGTGTGTGTGTATTTAAGGAACACTTCATGACTCCGCAATTCCTATATTACCTCAGGGCTTCTCTTTGGGGAATCTGTATTAACTGGAATGACTTTTTTTCCTCTAGCCTCCACAAGTTCAGCCTGCGTCAATGAAATCTCAGACTGGACCTCAGCTTGGACAACTGTCCCAACCACGGCCTCCTCCCCAAGGTACAGTTCTTTGGGGCCCATGACAATGTGGACTGAGACATTTCAGTTTTCCTTCTAAATAAAAGCTACCGGGATAAAGGTTTCACTCATTGTTCCAATTCACTGACAAGCAGGCAGCAAATTCAGTATGCTGTTAAAGCAGCTGCTATTATATTCCACAGCAGCTCAGAAAGTGGGGTGAAACTTTGATACAGATCCAGTTGACACTGCTGGTAGGACTTGGCTCAGCAAAGTGAGGCTACTTGAACTGGTACTGGAGCGGGATTCTGGGCACAGAGGGTATTTGTGTTTGCACAAAGCCGTAGTGGCTACAAGTGTTAAGAAGCGATGGGAAGATGCTGGCGCTGTCAGTCTTGGAACAGACACCAACATGGTGATGCCAGGATCCTTGATCCATCTGCCCAGGTGTTCCCCTGTCAGCAAGAGCACACCCCCAGCTCCTCTTGACAGCAGAAGCAGGTTTGACTTATGTGGTTGGTCAGAACAACACATTTGGTTTATTGTCCTGATTTACGCTGAGGTGATGAAGCACAGGGCTGCCCTGTGGGTACCCAGACCACACCAGCCACTCAATTCACATAACCAACTAGACCTTCCTTTTTGCCACCTTTGTCCTTTCATTTCTCCACCCCAATCTCCTACCGAATTAACACCCACCTCTAATTACCTTTTCCTCATCAGTCACAGTTTTGCTGTATCCAAAATTTGGCATTTCTGATACCAAAGGCATCTATGTAATCTTGGCATTATGTGCTATTACTGATATGATGACCTATGAATTGATGGCCTTGCAGGATACTACTTCCCCATCTGTCTCCAGTACTCCCCCTCAATTCTCTGTGAAGTTTTTTCTCACATAACTCCCCCTTGACCACCTGTGAAATCCAGCCAGCCTTCACAATACTGTCTGTAACTTTTGTCAGCTTCTCACACTGTTATCTGTCATGTCCAGCAATTTCTCATGTGACATCCAATTATTTTCCACATCCTCTTCAGCTTTGAGAGTCTGCTACCAATATGGCTGAAGCCACCCGCTGATAATGCTGGAACAGATATATGGATAGCGATAGGGTGCACAGTCTCACATCAACCTGCTGGGCCCGTGAAGGGACTGCTGACCCAAAGCAGCAGATTCAGCTTTCATTTCCTGCACAGAGTTGGTTCTCCAGTGACTCTTCCTTTCCAACACAGAAGTGCTTGCCAAGGATAAGAAATACTAGTTACATGGAAGAGTACAGCACGTTGAAGTGACTCCCTTTGGGGAGAGTGGCAGAGCTGCTTTAGTACTGAAGGAGGTAGAGAAATGGACCACAACTGTAGAAACGTGGGCATGACACCAGTGTTAGGCCTATAAAAGAGGTTTTCCCTTCTCCTTCTGCATGAAGCCACTCTGAATAGTCTCTCCCCTCAGCAAAACCCATTCTTCCATATAGGTGCTCCTTGCTTGTTGTCCACCACATGCACTTCCTCATGTTTATGTCTACATGTCCCTTTCAGGTGGACCACGCCAGCCTCAAGGATCTCAGCCTCCACGGACAAACGCACCTCCACAGCAGCGGCTCTCTCCTCAAGGACAGCAGCCCCAGAGTCCCCAGTCCACTTCACCTCAGCAGCAAAGGTCACCTGGATCTCCACAGCAAGTCCGATCAGCAACTGGGTCCTCTCCAGTCCAGGCTTCCAAGGCAGGCATGTTCCCTCCACAGCAGCCTAGACCTCCTGCTCAAGGCCGGGCTCCTAGCCAGCCAAGCCCCACTGAAACGTGCAAGCAGCAAGCCACCCCACACCCGCATCTGAAGTAGGTGCTCTGTTAAACTGCTAATATCTGTAGATATTAGAATAAGGCTGTCAAAAAAGTACCCTGAGCTGGCATGAAGGACGTATCACCTGTTGTCAGGCAGCAGTCCCCAGGGACAAAGAGTGACTTCAGAGGTATATATGCCTGGGCATAACAGGCCACCACTGAACTGTTGTCAGGAAGAACAAGTTGTACTTGACATCTCTAAGATTTCACGTTCTTCCTCTCGCTCATGCACTCATAGTTAATCATGTGCTCTACCCCGGCCATATCAACACAGCTACTACCTTCCCAGCAGGGTGTATACTCCTTACAGGCTATAATCCACACATCATTGGCCAGAAAGCCCAACAAGAGTCACTCTGTCACTATTTGCTGAATGCAGGAGCCACACAAGGTTCTTTACCAGGCAATTTTTTGCAATTGGTAGCAAAAAAAGGTAGGGGCTGGAGTGGAAGCGGCACTACTCATATATATATATATATATATATATATATATATAAAAAAAACTCCAGATGGTGACTGTATAAGCTTTCTTCTGGAGCAGAGCACACCACTGAATTATTGTGGATCTTTGGTAGCAGCCTTTGCTGCCACCCTTCATGGAGCATATCTGGCTGGCACCATGGCAGGAAAGATAGGCAAAAAAATGTTTGGTGTTGACAAAAAGTTGACACGAGAGCAAACTGGTATGAACAGACCAGAACAAAATATAGGCTAGGAATGAGAAGACAGTTTCTAGACAGCAGAGGAGTGATGTTCTGGAACAGGCTTTCAGTGATGGTATCTACATTAGCAAGGCAAACCAAGACCAGTGGACTTAAGGATCAAAATGTTGGTGCTAAGGATGCACTCTCCATACTATACATATTTCAGGTACTTCAATTCAGAGTCTGGTCTACTGCTGAATGCCTATTACTGACCAGGAGAAACCGCTCAGTGACAAAGCATGAAGTGGGGAATATTGGGAGATTTACATCAAAAGCACAGCTCTGATCTGAACTTAAACACTAGCAGATACGCACCCAGCAGGAGCAGTGTGGCCAATCGAAAGACCTGCATAACAGCTGACAGTCAGAGCAGACATGCCAGGGAGGGCAGGCAACAACACATTGCAGGGGACGTGGCTACCAATTTACCCAACCCCTCATACTCTCACATTTGAAAAGACAGGACCACCATTCATGGTGTGGCTGATGAGAGACAGGTGACCCTCAGTATGAATCCATTCTTCTGTATCAGTAGTGAAATTACTTAACTCTTCCTCACAACAGTTGCACCAAATGGCAATTGCATGTTTTTAGTCAGATGTTTTCATGAACACTTACTAGTCTGGTCCCCTCATTCCTGGATGTCTTAGCATATGGAGATTCTCCTTGCTTACCTCTCCTTTTATCCTTGAATTTGTCTGTGTGATGGAACACAGCATCAGTAACCAGCTTTGAACAACCACCTTCTCCTGCTGAGTCTGAACTCTGTTTTCCATTTCAGCAAATCGCAGTCCCTGACAAACACCTTCAGCATATCTGAGTCATCTCAGCGGGGAAATGCCAATGAGGACGAAGCAAAAGCTGAGACCATCCGCAACCTGAGGAAATCATTTGCTAGCCTGTTTTCCGATTAACAGCCCTGCAGCTGGATCTGTGCTTTTGTCAGCCCTCACTCTTCGTATCAGTGTACCTGATGTCATCCTGGAATACGCTCAATGGTACCCAGTGATTTACAACTAACACCTGGGTAAAGGGAATTTAGAAAACTATAGTTGTTTTAATACAAAGAAAATATTATAATAACGGTCTGAAAAGTGACTGTATAAAAGTGGCACTATTTAATTGTTTTTTGTGCATAATCAGAATCACATCTGTTCAAATGACTGAGTTGTAAAGCAAATTTTACTCTTGCTAACCCCTGTGGAGACAACACAGTTATAACAGTGCGAACTAGATTTTATTTTGATTTGTATATAGTCAATACAATCGTTAACTTCCAATTACTGAATCCTTGTTGAGGTCAAGCTAAAAAACCATCTTATTTCAGAAACAGATGTGCAAAGACAGAGTTAAGAGTAAGTATTCATTGACTGATAAAAGTGAGCATGCTTGAGCATGGAAACACAGTGAACTGTGGAACTTCATGATACCAACTTTATAAAAAGTCACTTTTCAGAGCAAAACTACATTCAAGTTAAATGTACGGTATCAGACATTAGTAAGCGCCAAAGATCACATGAGCAGGTCATCCAGATGGACTGCTGGTTTGTTCCAGATCACTCTGCTCACAGCAGATAAAACATCTCTGTTTCATGCCTTGCATTTATGTCCCCCGCACGTGATTCCTGAGTTCTGAGAGAAAAATGTCATGTTCTAACCCTGTAGCCTTAGCTCAAAAATAACCTGAGAAATAGGCCTTCCATGCAAAAAACAACTTCTTCCCCTGCCCCTGGAAACACCAGAGTTCACATTCACAGTTCACACAAATTCCAGACAAAAGCCAGCTAAACTCCAAGCACTTTGGTGACTTGGTCACATCTGGCTAAGTATGTCCCCCAGGAACACGCTTAATTAATAGCAGAGCTGATGAAGTGCACATACTTGTGTGCTGAGTGTTCCATAATACCGAATGGACAGAGAGATGGAGTGAAATCCTGTCTCCCTCCTTGAACTCCCATTGACTTCACTGGGGTGAGTGCAAAATGAATGCAAGGTGACAAACCTGCAATAGAACAGGAAAACGATCCTTTACAAATAAGATGAGCTGGGTCCATCCAGAGACACCAAGCCATGGGAGGGCATGTACGGGATTGCCCCAAGCAGGTAATGATCAGTATTAGTCCTCCCTGACCACCCCCAAGAATTATTCTTCCAGAGAAGACAGAGATGGATCTTTGCCAGGTGTGCTTTTCCTCTAAGCCTGCAACACAGAATGAAGCTGTGTATGAGCACATATACTGGAACTGGGACACGGCAAAAAACAGGAATGAGACAAGCTACATTCATGAGTGAAAAAACCACCTTGGGTAAATCAACGTATCTATGGCTATTTCTACCAGCTGAGAACCTACCCCTTGCACTGTGCTAGTTCTGTTTATAACCCACCTAATGCAGGCACTGGTCCCCATCCCACCTCCTCAACTTTCCTTCAAGTTTTGTCAAGTACTTTAGTCACCAACTGTGCATACAGCTTCGAGGCCAGACTTTTGGCTTTGTACTTCCCTTAACAGCCTCACCTTGATGACACTTAGGAATGCCCAGGGAGGCAGAGAGGTCAGCAAGTTAAAAACATTTGAGCCAATGGCATGTATCTTTGCTGTCACTTAAACAGGGAGATCGCCAAAGCAGCAAAAGCAACAGCAGCATTTGCCATCTTGGATCTTATGATTCACTGGTGGGAATAAAGCCAAACAAGCAATTCCCTCCTGCGTAGCACCTGTAATGAACATCTAAATCCAATGCAGTCATCTGGACCTTGTATGACCTACCCCTGAGCAGGCCTTTACACATATAATGGCTTTTGTGGTCTGTGCACTTTCAGGCAAGTAACAGCATAGCTTTTCCAGGTTGGAAGGCTCTTGAGAAACTCATCTGGATCAATGATTTATACCTCAAGTTCAGTATTATAGAACCACCCTATTCCCTGATGATTTATCTTCCCCCCCCCCCAGTTCTGTGTTGTCCTTCCAGATTTGCTAAGCAGTTTACAATGTAGCATCATAATTACATGTCATTATCTGAGGGGGAAAAAAAAACAGACCCTGCTGTTTTGCAGTCTCCAGGAGCAATAAAAGAGTGACAAATGGCCTTGAGCAAGCATTGTCCCACTGGCAAGAACAATAGCAGATTAACAGGCTCCACTATATGGAGAGGAGGTAATACAACCCTGGTGGGAGAGGATTTCCTTCTGTAACACTTCCCTCAGCATGGTTTATGCCTTTCCCTACTAAATGGTCACCAGAGATGCAAAGACAAAAAATAAAAGTTTACTGCCAGAATCCTCAATTGCTCTATCCCCTGAGTCTTTTTATGTCTCTCTTACCAACACAACCTATATAAAAAATAAGTAACTAGTGACTAGTATGGCATGGCCCCATAAATCGACCCCAGTTCATCACTGACACCACAACGGTTGGATCATTTGCTGATGCTGCACTTGAACACAGCAGGGCTGTCCTCCAACGGACCACAGCAACAGGGTAGCACTGTTGACTTGATACCCAGCAGCGACTCAGATCTCTTCATTTGCCTGCAGCTCCCAGCTGTCATCTTTCAAGGGACAAGCAAACAGAACGGCATCTCCCCTCCTCCTAGTTCCAGCTTGCAAAAACAAGTAAAAGCAACAGGCACTCGCAGCTTAACTTGGTTATTCCTATAGTTCCTGAAAAGATTCTTCAGTTCTATCCACTGAAGTGCTTTAATGAAAACACTGAGTTGATTTCCTAAGTTAAAATGATGAAACTCTATACTGTGTCCTATAAATGTTCCAACAATACACTTCAATCTACAACTATGATGCTCACAACTAGATGTTGTGGCTAGCAGGAGATTCACAAATGCATCATCATGTATTCAGGTTATCACCTTTGATGCAGGGTTTCCATTCCAAAATCCCTACAATCTAACAAAGCAAGAGGAAGAGGGAATACAAGGGGTATATTCTCCATTTTATGAATAGGGAACTAAGGTATACCCAAGAAGTACTTAGCTACCTAAATATAACAGCTGGAGTTAGGGGCAGTAAGAAGGCAACAGAAAAGTTGGTGAATAGAAGTTACATTTAAATCACAGGGCAGACGTGCCCCACAGCATGCCTCAGGATCTTCCTCACACAGCTGTGCAAACTGAGCACCTGGTCAGAGCTTCCCTTTTGTCCTGCATGCTTTCATTTTCTTCACATGGAAGCCAGGAAACATGAATAGATTTGTGTGTTTGGATCCAGCCCAAGAAGGAGCTGGGACACAGCTAAGACACCCACTCATATCCACCACCTGGAAAATTAATTTACATTTTGCTGTTTAGATACAGACTGAGAAACATCTTGACTTTCTTGTAATATCTAGGTGCAGTATTTCAAGAGGAATGTCACTTACGTTCCCATGCAACTAAGTCTTGTATAAAGCTAAGGTTCAGAAGAAGAGCAGTCCTGCTCCAATAACTGCAGCGGTATTTTCTTCTCTTTCATTAATCACAGGCAGGTACCCAAGACCTTACACCCTGCACACGACCCAGTTACTTCATCTGGCTGGCTGGCTTAAGTTTCATGAATAAGATAAAACAGTAAATAGAAAAGCCAAGGACTTGGTTCCTTGTTTCCAAGTGACTGTTAGTAGCAACCCTAACAGTGCTGGATACAGATGTACAGGTAAGAAGTGCCCATCTTCAGACATTTCATCTTTTGCAGTTTCTCTTCTATAGAGTTTGCAAACGGCAATGACACTCATACCTGGCTTAGGAGCTGGCGAATAAACAAAATAAGCAGCTAGTTTTCAAATATTTCCTCTGTTTTGTCTTCTAATTTTACACTGTTGGTCCCAAGATACTCACTTTATATTTCATATCCTGTTTCGTGAGTAAAGGGAACTCCTCTCTAGGGAACTTGACATTTTAGGAGAAGTCAGGTTCCTTTATCTTTGGCTCACAATACTGTTACTACAACATAAAGGAACAATGAAGAAAGGGAAGGAGTATCTTCAGGTCACATAATGGTGTATCTGTAAAAAGGCTGAGTTCATTTCTTCAAAAACAAATGTTCAAATGACAAAATCCAGGATAAACAGAACCTGTGGCATCAGCCTGGCAGAAGTTATGATGAGGTTGTCCCCATGGCAGAGAGGGCCCAACTCCAGAGAAGCACGGGGCATGCCAGCAGAGCAAGCAACGTGATTGTCATCAAGGCACTGGTAGTGTGAGTACCATTGGCGCCACAAAATTAACGTCTCGCACACATAGAGACCATTGTTCCCAGAAATAGCTTGAAAAAAGTGAAAAGAGTAAGTAACAAGTTATTTTATCAGTTAAAGCTGTATAACCTCATCTGAATATTATGTATGCATTTCTGAAGCACTGACCACAAGGACAAAATGGTACAAGACCAACGCAGTGTAGATTTGCCTTTTCCTTTTTACAGCCAGTGGAATATAAAGAATCACTAAGCTCTAAGAGGCCTGACTATAGGCCTCTTTTCACTTCAGTGAAAACTCTGTTGGAACAAGGCAATTCAACCACTGCAGGCAAATGTTAAAAGTTAAGGGCAATTTTGCTATTGAAGGGAACCGCTGTCCCGCAACTCTGTAAATACACACTCTGAGGTGTTTAATCATGGCAGGATTTACACTGGTATGCCGTTGCTGTGAAGTAGAAAAGGAAAGGAAGAAGAAATACAACTTTTAACAGCAAAATAAAGTATTGTATTTTACTTCCACTGGAGTTAATGGCAAAACTTCCTGCCCCTACTGAAGTCAACTGATTTTATACAAAACAAGATGAATCATTGAAATATCACCTGAAAAAGCACGTAAGTATTACTGATTAAATAGCTTGTATTTAATAGGAAATGTCATTCCATTTCCACTGCTGGAATTTCAAAAAGATTTTAGAAAATATCATCAGCTGTCACAACAGTCATCAGTACCATTTACATTTACAGAAACACTGAGATCGATCCATCTTAAAAAATATGTAAGAAATGAAAAGTTCTAGCAAAGTTTAGTCATTCCAGTCTTCCTTTAATTGAACTCCAGCATCAGCCTGCAGATCTCATCAGGAGACATTAACAGTGGTCTTGTTAGTTGCTCGTTAGTTAATAAGACAACACTTGAAAGGTGCTCATAACATGCTACAACACATTTCCTCTTGGCAAGATATATTTTGATACTGAAGTAATGGAATTAAATGAAATTCACTGCAGTAAAGTGAGAATTCATTCTGCTTCTGCTGTGATCCCATTTCCACTGCAACCAGGTCAACCTATTTAATTCCTTAGCTAAGTTAGGCAGGAGGAAAGATTTATTTTTGCACCAGTTTTAGTTCACACACAGTAAATGCAGCTCCTTATTTGTAAAGTCAAGGAGAAAGACAAAAGTTTTGCTGCTGGTTCTTTGTAAAATTGCTCTGCTTCTGTTCAGACTTCTGAGTTGCACTGTAGCATGACTCTACTCAGTTGTTTGTAAAATGAATTGATTTGTGTTCTAATACTTCCATTGTAAAGAAAATCCCTTCCCTATATTCTTTGTGTATTAAGTAACAATACAAAAATGCTTTTTACCTAATAAAACATTAAAGGAAAAAGGAAATGTCATCCTTGAAAATTTCTACAAACTCACATCTACCGTAACAATAGTAGCATCCTGTTCTATGTGGAACACGGTAAATTTTTTTGTTAATAAAGATTACTAGCCAGGTAGATTTGAAACACCACCATTTTTCCTGGCCATTTAATAAAACTCTTCAAATAAGACAGACAAGTATAGGGCTTGTATTTAAA